TTTTTCAAACATGCAAATAAACCAGGAAGGTGGTTAGCCCATAAATTAAGATTAGAAAGAGAAAGAAGGTTGATACAAGAATTGGAGGATGATGATGGAAAATTAGAATATCGAATGATTGAGAAAAAGAAAATAGTACAAAAATATTTTGAACAACTATATAGGGAGGATGGAATAAACCCTGAGACTATAAAACAATATTTGAAAAGGAAAAGTCTCCCAGAAATTAGAGAGGAACAGAAAGAGATATTAAATAAAGAAATAAGTGATGGAATTGAAAAGGACGGTTGAAAGGCAGAAAGATAATAAGACGCCAGGGCTGGATGGTCTTCCAGTGGAACTGTATAAATGTATCTATGAATGTCTTGAACCAGTGATGTTAGATGTGTACAATGAGGTATTAGACTTTGCCAAATTACCTGATTCATGGAGAGAACCAAATATCTCACTAATTCCTAAAGAAGATTTAGATCACAAACAGATTAAAAATTATAGACCAATCTCACTCCTGAACGCAGACTATAAAGTATTCGCAACAATAATGTTGGAAAGACTAAAAATTATATTAAATGAATTTATTCATATTGAGCAGAACAGTTTTCTACCTTCTAGACAGATAAGGAACAATATAAGGATAGTATTAAACGTATTAGAATACTATGAGGCCCACCCGGGAAAGCAGGCAGCGTTGATTTTCTTGGATGCTCAGAAGGCCTTCGACAATCTCAGCTGGCAGTTCTTGATCCAACAGGTCGAAAATATGGGATTTGGATCTAAATTCAAGAAAATGATTGGCACAATTTATTCGAACCAAAAAAGCTAGAGTAATTATAAATGGGGAGATTACTGAAAACTTTAAGTTTATGAAAGGTGTTAGGCAGGGATGTCCAGTGTCGCCTCTGCTTTTTATCTTGACCATCGAAGTGCTTTTAAATCAGATTAGACAAAGAAAGGAGATAACTGGACTGAAGAGCAAAAAAGAAGAATATAAAGTACAGACGTTTGCTTAGTGTTTTTTGTGGAAGATCCAGTGGAGTCAGGGAGCTATCTAATTCAAGAATTAGAAGAATACAGGGCGGTAGCAGGACTAAAAATTAATAAAGATAAAACAAAAGTAACAACCAAAAACTTGATAGAAAGTAAAAAAACAACAAAAACAATTGGAAAGGAAATTGGGACTACAAAATGTCAAAAAATTTAAATATCAAATAATTTGGTTAACAGGAAGATGCTCTTCCATAAAAGAGGATAATTATATGAAATTACTTTCACAGATAAAGAAAGATCTGGCCAATTGGGGAAAATTACAATTATCACTATTAGGCCAAATAGCGGCCATAAAAATGAACATACTACCGAAACTATTATACTATTTTCAAACAATACCTATAAAATTGGATAAGAAATTTTTTCAGGAATTAGATAGGACAGTAATGAAATTTATATGGATGGGGAAAAAAGCACAAATAAAATTGAAAACATTACAAGATAGTAGAACCAGAGGCGGCCTTGGACTCCCAAAATGGGAAAAATATTATCAAGCAGCAATTTTACTATGGGTTAAGGAGTGGATAAACTTAAAAAATAAAAGAATTTTGGTGATAGGTCATGACCTCCAAATTGGGTGGCATGCCTTTCTATGGGATAAAAAGAATAAGATCCACACCTATTTCCATAGACATTTTATAAGGGACTCACTTTTACAAACATGGGAGAAAATAAAAAAAAGCATTATTTGAAAAGACCAAACTGGATCTTACCTATGGAAGCTATATTATATCCAAATACAAGGGACATTAAAAAAATGATTAGATATAAAGAATTGGTAGACGAACAGGGGGAATTAAAAACACTGGATAAACTAAAAGAACAAGGGATAATATTAGACTGGTGGGTATATTTGCAAATTCAAACTAAATTTAAGAAAGACGTAAAGGAGCTAGGGATAGATAAAGATTTACAAAAATTGGACCAAATCTTGACAGGCAAGGATATAAAATTTATAACACGAACATATAATTATTTACTGGAGGTAGAACTAGAGGAGGAAATTGTTAAGGGACCAATGATTGCCTGGGCGAGAAATGTGGGTCATAATATAAATTTGGATGAGTGGGAAAAGACTTGGACTGAGAACTGGAAGCTGACTTTGTCGACGGCATTCAAAGAAAATCAATATAAAATGTTTTGTAGATGGCACTTAGTGCCAGCACAACTGGGGAAAATGTATCCAACCTTGAAACCAGAATGCTGGAAGTGCAAACAAAAGAAAGGAACCTTTTTCCATATGTGGTGGCAATGTATACAGGTCAAAAAATACTGGAGAAAATACAGAGATGGCTTTTTGAGATTACAAAATATAAATTGAATTTGGAACCCAAAATGTTTTTATTAGGTATGATCAAAGGGAATTTGAGTAAAGATAAAAGATATCTTATTGTACACATCTTAACTGCAGCAAGAATCATGTTAGCACAAAATTGGAAGAGTGTTAAAATACCACCAGATGAAGTTTTGATTCAAAAAATAATGGACTGTGCTGAACTAGATAAATTCATTATGGAACTGAAAGGCAAAGAGGATCAAGAATACTATGCAACATGGGAGAGGTGGTACGAATGGGTGAAGGATAAGGATAAAAACAATGTATAGTCACAAAATAAGAAACATGTATATACAATGACACAATAACTGTTAATGGAAATGAGATTTTTGTATTTTTTGGTTTTAAAGAATAATTTTTAAAAAAAAAGAGTATAGTTTTACTAGTATCTAGTGTAAACTGTGACCATTAGCTTTTAGCATTTCAGTCATAACACAGCCATTCCCTAATGCGTTGCCATTTTTCATTGATTTTATGGCACTTGATATATAATCTACTAGGATACCTGGCATTTCCTCTTTCATGGGGCAGCCTATTGCTGTGCGAGAATGGTTTTTTCTTTATCCTGATTGGTTGGGAGTCTTGGTCTGTGTTTATTGGTCTTGGAGTTTGCTGTGTTCTGCTTGATTGACACCAGATGAGATTCTGCTGAAACGTTGCTACAACTTTAAAAGCACAACTACTATGACGTGGGAAAATACCCGAACTAAGTATGTTTGGCAAAAATATATGTTTTCTCCAAAAGCGTTTTGTAAGGCAATTGTAATCCGCAATTCAGATTTTACATTTAGGATGGGTTTGATCTCCCATATGGTCTTTAACAGCCCCTTTCCCAAACACTGGAAAGCCACCTAAGTGTAGCGTGTCGGTGAGGCGATCAAAGAACAGGTTCACCAGAGCCCAGGTCACCGACCACTTCTGAAGAGGGCAAGAGCAGTTCGTTCAGGCTGGGATCCAGGTAATCGGTGGCGGCGTAGCCTCCCTTCCCCAGCGCCTCGCAGAACTCCTCGCATAAGCCCGGCGAATCGGGACCTCCTTCTTCAACAGGGAGAGCAGCTTCTGCGCGGCTTCCACATCCCCTTTTTCCCCAGCCACGCACGGTGTGGAGCTGACGTTTTTGGTCGAGGCTGAGGGACGGCATCAAAACCAGCACTTGACCCAGCATGTCGGAACAAGATGGCGCCCAAGCAAAGTAGGCGGCCCGGTCCAAAATGATCCACGGACCGGTCCCGGTCCGGGGACCGGTGGTTGGGGACCCCTGTTGTAAAATATCTTGTGGTCCAGCCTTCTTAAGCCACTAGATTTTTTTTTTACAGCTGGAAAACATGTCATGGATGTTGAAAGAAAATAGATCTATAGTTAATTCAAAGAATGACTGCCATAATGTATGTCCAATCATAAAACCAATTTATTATTTATAAAACCCAAATTATTAGGAGGCAGACTGGCAAAGTGGCAAGTTGATTAGGATCAATTGTAACAAGCACTGTCATGTTCAATTTCCCTAACTACTTTATTACACAATTGGAGAAGGCTATATGGAGAATGACGTTGACTTTCTTCTCAGCTGAAACTGAGAAGTCTGAACTGAAGTTACTCCATTTACCAAAAAGGGTGAATGGTGAAGGGTGAGTGATAATAGTGGTGAGTCAGGGACAACCAGGGGTGGGTTTCTACTGGTTCTGTCCACCTCTGTATAACCGGTACCTCTGAAGAGCAGCAGACATAGAACCGGTTCTATGTCTGCTGATGTTTTTGCCCACCCACCCACCCACCCGGTCTCTTACCTGATCTTCATTTCCTGATTTTTCAGCTTCAGCTACCGAACGAGGCACAGCTGCAGTTAAAAAAGCAGGAAAAGAGGGTTGTTTCTCTGCAGGCAGCTATTGATGATGATTTAAAGGCACGCGGCTCGTAAATCCCGAACCGGTAGTTAACCCTGTTGTATCCCACCCCTGGGGACAACCACAAGGGACAGTGTGTGCTAGATGGATAGAAAAGCAGTCACCAACAGAAGATATTTAAGTGTGCAGCAGTTATTGTTTGCTTTAAAAGCTATAGGTTTGTGTAGTCATCTGATACATGAATTATAGATTTTCTTAATTTACAGGAAGCCTGGTTTACAGCTATATATTACTATGTAATTATTAACCCTTTAATGAATTCTTTAATTATATGTTTTAATATTTGGATAGGAAAAGGATGGATCTTATATTTCTAGCTTTTCATTTATATCTAAATTTATTTGTATTTTAATCAATAGGTTAAGAGGAGCCTAGGCGGCAAAATATCAGAAGCCCAAGCATTGAATTTGAACTGCATGAAGAAGTAGTTGGTATTTTGCAGAGTTTGTTGTTGCTCCCCTTGACTAGTTTAAGGAAATTACTCTGTAACTTGGACTATACATTGCAAAATTAAAATGCAGAATTTATATTATTATGGATTAGTGTTTTATTTATGAAACGTGAACTCTTCCTTCAATATCAGGAATCTATGAAATTTTCTCAAATCAGTATTCACTCTCCTCTGTAGCAAAGCTGGTATGAAGACTGCTGTTAATCAATGGTTAATTAGTGCAGGAAAATTAATTTCTTTTCCTCACTTTCTCCCTCTGCAGGTATTGTTGGTGAAGCAGATGAAAATGGTGAAGATTTTTATCTCTGGACATATAAAAAGCTTGAAATAGGTTATAATGGAAATAGGATTGTGGATGTGAATCTGACAAGCGAAGGGAAAGTTAAATTGGTACCCAACACTAAAATCCAGATGTCTTATTCTGTAAGTAATTTGAATTTATAAATAATAATGGTCATGTTTACACAGCTACTAAGCTATAGAAATAGCATGTTGGCAGAACCATGATTTGTCCAAGTATTGACCATATATCATGATGGCAGGCCTTAATTACAATATGTGTTATAGTGTATTGTGTGCTTACTCTCCCCACCTGAGAATAGTATTATCCAAATCCCAACAAGAAGGATAATCTAAAGTGAACTCCCTTATCTCCAGATAAACAAACAAGAAGCTAAAATGGATACAAAATAAGATTGTTCTAATCATAGCAATTATTTTCTTGTTTTTTTCCTCATACATATTTCTATTGACATTGGGGATGTGGTAAAAAGGGAATTAAAATTTAAAATTAAAATGGGTGAGGGGGAATCAATGCTTTCTATCAAATGATCACCCTGCAATTTATATATATATAAAGATTGTACATATTTACTGTTAATTTTGTATGCCATACCCTCATCCCACATAACTAATTGTGTTAATTATCCCATTTAAATGTCTAAATCCAGGACCTATATAAGAACTCTGAAAGAACATAGTTCTATAGGTTATCTAGGAAAAAAAGAATTCCATTAAATAATGCTTCTTCCTAAAGCTACCACTAGCAGAATTTCCTTAAATTCTGTTTAAAATAGTCTCAGTGATATGGTTGGCATTCCTTTTTTTTGGATCTCCCTGTGTATTTCAATAGCAGCTGACATAAAATTATAAACTGAAACTGCCTTTAATATATCTGATAGAAAAGAAGATTTTCCTATTTAAGATGCCACTTGGAATTGTCTTTTTGCAGCTCATAGTCTTGGTTCAGCAATACAGGTAGTTCTCAATTAACTGCTTCCCTCTGACTTTGACTTTTGGGAAACTGGCAGGAAGGAAAAAAAAAACACAATAATATAACCATGTCTGGATGTTACCTCTGGTGAGCTGTAATGGCTAGAATAATGAGGACTGCTAACAACTAATACTTGTTCAGCATTGTTGCAAATTTGAACAGTCACTGAATGTCAGCCTTCTAAGTAGACTTAGACAGGAAACATTACAAGATGAACTAATATAAAGTAAATATGGTAAAACTATATTAACATAATCTTGCAAATCTGAAAGCACAGGTCTCCGGCTGTCTCTTTTTACTACCAGTCAGGTTAGATCCTTTCTAAGTTTCTTTCTCTGTCTATTACAGGTAGTCATCAACTTACAACTCTTCATTTAGTGACAGTACAAAGTTACAATGGTACTAAAAAAGTGACTTATGACCATTTTAACAGTTACAACCTTGATCAGTTACATCCCGATGGCCATGTAATTAAAATCAGATGCAGATGAACCAGCAACTGGTTCACATTTATGATCGTTGCTGTGTCTTAAGGTCACCTTTTGTGACTTTCTAATGAAGTCAGTGGGGAAGCCAGATTCACTTAACAGCTGGGTTACTAACTTATCCACTGCAATTAATCACTTAACAACTGAAACAAGGAAAGTCATAAAATGGGGCAAAATTCACTTAATAAATGTCTCACTTAACAAAGGAAATTTTGGGCTCAGTTGTGGTCGTAAATCAAGGACTACCTGTACTCAGTTGTGGGCTCCTCCCATTTTATCTAATCATTCCCTAGGCAGCATTTCCCCCACCCCTATCTTCCAAGTTCATTCTCTCATTACATTGAATGAGTAGTTCTTTGATAAAAATATCTTGTAGAACATTATATTTGCTTAATTTAATAATAAAAATAAATAAAATTGCTACTGACCTCTAGTGACTCTGGGTAGTTTATAGTTTAAAACATTTAAAAACAAAGAATAAATTTTATTGTGTACTAATACCGTGTTTCTCCAACAATACGGCCTCCACCAATAGGAAGCCCCA